ACATTATTATATTACATTTTCAAATAATTAGACTATTTTTTTGACACTTAACTTTGCGCATGCGCACAATAANAACGATTTTCTTGAACAGCAAAGTGGCGCATTCGCATTACAATGAAATTAGTCAGAATAGATGTGACAATTTCATTTTTATGTTCAAAGCAGGGAAATGAAAAAGGAAAACTTAAAGCATCTTCAACTGTAAGATCAAAAACATTCTTTTGATTACAGTGTTTAGCAAAACATTCTTCTACTTTGTATAGGAATTGAAACAAGCGTATATTGGGATGTGTCAATCCTCCTTTTGATTTTAAGTTAATTAACTCAGCTTCCGGCAAATCAACAAACTTATCAGTAGTCTTCAATGCGCTCAAGCAAATTTGACATGATGTACTTTTAGCAATCTTCTTTGATACATACCCAGTAGTATAGTATATTATACAACTTAATGCAGAAGCATTGTTATAGTTGTGATCTGCAAATATTTCATCTGCTTCCCATGAACCTTGATCAATAAGCATGTCTACTTTAGACTTTAAACTTTTTATCTTTTCCTGTCTTGGTGTTGATTCACAGTTAAATATTTCTTTTAATTCGGATAAAGAAATGGTAGGTGCCTGTGAATCAAGTATAGTGCAATTTCCAGATTTTGGGGGACGTAGTACAGAATAAATTGATAAAATGCGATAAAGGTGTAAGAAAGTGGGACCTGTAGGATGGTCATTAGGACCAGCTGCTTGTCGAATCATTCCAAAAAATTTCTGAAATTCAAACACAAAATGTAATAATTTATATTTTATACAGACATAGATTAAATTTTTTAAATAAATACTTCTAAAGGATCTTGATTCATTTTCCCTGTTAGTACATATTTAAAATTATAGTCATGCAATAGATATTGACAAAGTTCTATTGTTGAGCGTAAAGTTACACGTAATCCTTCTGCAGTTGAGCGTGTAAGAAATTCATTATGATTTATTTTAAATTCATTCATATTTTTTTCCCAACTATCGAGCCAAATCTCTGCATTTTCTAAAATCTATGGAAATAAAAATTAAGATTAAAATAAATTAAATCATTAGTGTAAGTGAAAACTAGGTAGGTACTTTAAGAGATCATAAAATGAAAATTGTTATTAAATACCTTGAAGTCTTCACTGGATTTAAAAATACCTTCAGCAGTATAACGACGATTCAAGGCGTCAAACAGATTATTTAAAAATAAAGTGAACTCCTGGGTCTCTTCGCTACCATTTAAACCAATCACTCCATTGCGCCTGTAAAATTCTATCCCACATGCCATCGAGTGACTAAATACCTAAAAAAAAATACAAGTTACACTAATAAATTATAGCAATTTATATTTTGAATAGAATTTATTTAAATGCTTTTAGTACTTTAATATTTTACCTGTGTCATTAAACGTACACGCATTTTCATCAAATTTGATAAATAAAGATGATCTTTAGTGATTTTTGGGATAGCACGAGCATTTCCTGGATGAATAGTATCTGCATTAAATGTGTCTATATAATGCCACCAACTAATACACTTTCCATCAGGATTTACCTTTATTAAAAGTTAACAAATAATTAAATAAAATAATACAAAATTCACAATAACAACCTTGAGATATTTTTTGTCATGTAAACGGTTTCTAATGTTTTTGAAAAGATGAGGGACGTCA